ATCCCACACCCACACCCACACCCACACCCACACCCACACCCCACACCCACACCCACACCCACACCCACACCCACACCCACACCAACACCCTTCTTAAGTCTCGTGCACCATCTCCTAAGGGCAATAAACGTATTTTTTACGTATTATTAAATGAAATCTAGCTATCAGTTCAAAATGTCTGTGGGTGTGTGTGGGTGGGGTGTGGAGTGTGGGTGGCAGAGATGTCCATCGCGGCTGAAAATCTGCCGCTGCCGCGCCGCGGCCTTAGAAATAAAAAGCTGCCGCACCGCTGCCGCGCCGCGACGGTTTATAAAAAAATGTTGCCGCGACGCTGCCGCACCGCGATGACTTATAAAAGAAACGCTGCCGCGCCGCTGCCGCGATGAAGTATAAAATAAACGTGCCGCCACCGCGCCGCTGCCGCGACGGTTTTCAAAAAAGTGTTTCTAATTCCACTGCTGTGACTATATTTGACCAGAGATATGGGTACTAGTCCATCAGATTTATTCAATATCAGGGCGTTTCATTTGTAAATCCTGAAATTCTATTAAATTCATACAGTTTTTCAATGTTCTCCAAAAAAACCCTGCCGCTGCCGCGATGGTTTTTAAAAAAACCTGCCGCTACCGCGCCGCTGCCGCGATGACTTTTTAAAAAATCTGCCGCTACCGCGCCGCTGCCGCGGTGATTTTTTAAAAAAACCTGCCGCTGCCGCGCCGCCACCGCCATCGCGGCAGCGGCAGCGGCAGCGGCAGCGCCACGATGGACATCTCTGGTGGGTGGGTGTGGGTGTGGGTGAGTGGGTGTGGTTCCATGTGTTCTTTGCGTGTCACACCCACACCCACACCCACACCCACACTAACACCCACACCCACACCCACACCCTCGACTATTAAGTGAAAAATTTCATATTTCAATTGGAGCTGTTTCAAATATTTTAAAAAGAAAATTAGAATACACAAATGATTACGAATTGAACAGAAATAAAAAATTTAAAAAAAAATTTTTTTTGCATGATCCCCCTTCTATAAGATCACCCCATCATTATGAACGATTTAGGAAAGACCCAGTGGTGTTCAGAATAGAGAGATTTTACTGTAAGTAGTTAGTTATGATAATTGTCGTTAACGTTTATATATTATTTATAAAAAATAGAAAATTAAAGCTAAAGACAAAAGCTTTTTATGTTTCAACATCTGTGAGATCATTATGAAAACGAATTTCGACCATTAAACGACAAGATTGACCTTCGTCATAAATATTAACAAAAGTAAATTCTTTTCAATTTTCAACCAACTGACAAAGATCTTGTTCAAAGGTGGAGATATATTGAACTAAAATAAGAAAAGAATTTTATTATTGTTTTATTTTCTTTTATAAAATCATTGTGCGTATATACTTATTGATTCCAGTGTTTGTAAAGACTTCAATGATCATAAAAATAAAACTGCATAGGCATATCCTCCTCTGTAATTCAGTCAAACTTAAATAAAGAAAAAGACAATGAGACAATATGAATTCGTAAAATAGACTAAAGCTTTAAATAAAAATAGTTTTCTTTTTCTTTATCTACATTTCTTTTTTGAAAAAAAAACAAATAATCGTGTCATGTTATTCTTATATGAACAAGTTTTATTAATGATTGATTTCTTTAATAAAATATACTATGAATATAAATTTCATTCTTGTTATTTACTCTTAATTATTTCACTTTTTCATCAGGAAGGTTTTGAAAACATTATAAATTTGATCAATATTGTAAAATAAAGCTTTGCTTTATTTTCTATTCTTAACATTTTCTGTTCTTCAGAACAATATACCACAGTTTCAAGAACCTGTAAAAACAATTTGTATGTTTCCATTTATTCTGTGTGTTTTTAAAAATTTTAATCGATATTGTAGATCGTTAAGAACATTACTTAGAGAAATATTTCTATAGAATATTTCACAACTCGAATCATTAAATCAGTTGACGACACGAAATGTAGCAGCCAACTTATTACTTTTCAGTCAACTAGTTGTCGTGATAAATTCTTTTCCGTTTCGATGCATCAATTATAGTACAAGTTATCCACTTGTTCTAAGTGCTTGAGCATCATTTCAAGTCAGACAGAATCTTGTTAAGATAAGTACACATCTGAAAACCGTTTTTATGAAGAGCATTGATGTAGAGAGTGGGTGTGGGTGTGAGTATAAAGGAAGGGAAGTTTAACAGCCACTCACATTCACACTCTTGCCTAGATGTCCACTACGGTCTATAATACTTGCTGACTAGCATTTCTCACAATCTGTGGTGAATGCGGAGATTTTTGCCTTCAACATTCCTTTTAAATCTTGTTTCACAAAATTAAAAGCGTTTTTAGGAGTTAATATTTGATTTAATAATGTGCACACTCGTATGAATTCTTCTCTTTAAGAATATTTCACTATTGCTTCTAGAACAGCTTTCTATTTTTAGTTGATGAAAGAAATGAAATAAAATTATTCAGTATATTGTGTCTGACGTATATGAAATGAGGAAGTATCATTAACAATCCATTTTGAAACACGTCATGGCACATTTTAAAATTGATTGCTAACACAAATTCACAATTGAAGGAACTGTTTAAAATGGGAACAATTTTGGATTTCGTAAAAATATTACAGACAAATATTCGTGAATACAAATTGCTCGTTTAGCATATCGACGTTATCATCAATACAATTTTATACGAAACTACGTGCGGTGCTAGAAAAGTTTCTTTTTAACCTTTTATATCTTGTGCATCCTTTTATCTTTTCATTTCTTTCAGAGATTAGTCGCGTGTCACTCTTCATGTGAGTATAAAAGGTTTTGCAGTATGATTATATCTATAACCACAATTTTTATATCAATGACATACTCCGATTTAGGATAAAGCTAGCTTGACTCATGATCATCTAAACGCAGTTCACTCGTCTTACTAGAGTATAAGCAATCTAATATTGCGGTAAGTCAACTTTGCATTGAAAAAGTTGAAACTTATATCGAAAACTATATGTGACTACTCTGAAAGAAATAAAAGGCTGAAATTTTGCACACAATTCTAAATATGTGTAAGAATTATAATAGAACACTTCAACTGAAATTATAGATTTTAGAAGAGCTGGGCGAAAAAGTTTTTCTAATGCTCTATGTATCTGAATAACAGGTATAATGTAGTAATATTCATATTTGTCAAGAAAAAATAACACTATCTAAAATTTAGATATTTATCATTCTATGTTGATCTTTATGATTTATTTATATATCATGCTCGACTGAATTACATATATAAACCAATAGAATTCTTCCATTGACTTCTAATATATCAGCTTATCGATTTAAATCCTCAATTTTGGAATAAAAATAATTACATTTAAAATTAAGTAAGTGAAAAAAAGAAAGATTAACTTGTTCAAACAGTAAAAGTCAATTATGAACGTTTGAGTACATTTAATTGTCGTTGATCATTTGGTCTTGCAATCCATATATCTTCAATATTCACATTTTCAACAGTTTTAACTGCAGTTTTTAAATAAAATCCATCTTTATAACCATAAACTTTTTCAGCATCTTTTAAAGCTCGTAAAACTTTAACAACATGAACATCATTCATTAATTCTGTATTTAAAATTCGTTCAATAACATAATTCCAATTATTTTTTTCATCATCCATTTTATAATCATTGATAAGATGTTCATTTATTTCAGGCCGTAATTGATATACATATACAACAATAGCAAAATAAAAAACTGCAAGAAGAATATGTTCAAATGTTTTTTGATTATTTATATGTGGATATATTATACGAATAGCATGCATAGCAGTCACTAA